TTAGTCTTTGGCTCCTGTAGCCTAATTTGAATTATTTTGTGTATCTGAAAGTAATGGTGAATTTTCTGAACAAGATGCTGTGGTTCCACATTCTTATCAGTTTACACTGGCTTTCCCCCAAAAGAGGTGGCGTTAGTGCAGTTTTCCTGTGAAGACCCCACCATGGTGAGGAGACAATCAAAATGCAGTTAAAAAGAAAGGAAAGACAAAAAGATGATTTTTCAAAACCAGGAAAAGAAAAGCCGTGTTAGACAGCTAGTGAAATGTAGAAAAACGCTTGTGCAGATAAGGCCATAGGGCTGGAAAGACAGCCTTGTCAGATACCGGACAGGAGCAGGCAGTGCCGTGGGGAGAACACAGAGCTGGCACCAATGCACAGGAGGAGCTGGAGAAACCACTGCCTCCCTGCCTCCTGGACTCCCTCCACCTGTCTGGACCCCTCTCCCTTCCCAGACACCGCCTCCACTTTGAGTCATCAAGTATCGTTCACGTAGGCACCCCAGTCCATCTGGAGTTGGCCCCTGGTGGACTGCAGCAGTGAAAGGGCAGGGTTGGGTCATCTTGGGGGAAGTGATAGTTGCCCTGTGGGCGGAGGTTGTTGCTACCGTCCTGCAGTGGTTGTAGTTGCCATCCTGGGGGGCTTGTAGCTGCCATCTTGGGGGGTTGTAGTTGCCGACCGGGGGGCGCATGGCTGCCACCCTGGGGGGAAAGTTGTAGCTGCCATCCTGGGGGGGGCGGGGGTTGTAGCTGCCATCCTGGGGGAGTTGTAGCTGCCACCCTGGGGGGGGCAGTGTTGTAGCTACCATCCTGGGGGGTTATAGCTGCCATCCTGTGGGGGGGGGCGTTGCAGCTGCTGTCCTGTGGGAGTTGTAGTTGCCCTCCTGGGGGACCTGTAGCTGCCATGCTCGAGGGGGTTGTAGCTGCCACCCTGGGGGAGGAGGTTGTAGCTGCCATCCTGGGGGGAGGAGCAGTGTTGTAGCTACCATCCTGGGGGGTTATAGCTGCCATCCGGGGGGGGCAGGGGTTGTAACTACCATCCTGGGGGGTTACAGCTGCCATCCTGTGTGGGGGGGTTATAGCTGTCATCCTATCGGAGTTGTAGCTGCCCTCCTGGGGGACCTGTAGCTGCCATCCTTGAGGGGGTTGTAGCTGCCACCCTAGGGGAGGAGGTTGTAACTGCCATCTTGGGGGCAGTGGTAGCTGCCATCCTGGGGAAATTGTAGCTGCTGTTCTGGGGGGTTTTAGCTGCCATCCTGGGGAGGTTGTAGCTGCCATCCTGGGAGAGGTTGTAGCTGCCATCCTGGGGAGGTTGTAGCTGCCATCCTGGGGAGGTTGTAGCTGCCTGGGAGGGGTTAAAGTTGCCATCCTGTGGCGGGGGGGGGCGGGCTGTAGCTGCCATCCTGGGTGTGGGACGGGGCTTGTAGCTGCCATCCTAGAGGGGTGTAACAGTTGGCTTCTGAAGTTCCAGGGACACAGTCACTTCCTTCTGGTGCCTCCCCTGGGTACTTGCAGATGCCCAAGGGCCTTCCAATGCCCAGTGGATGGTTTGATACACCTCTCTGCTTCTGGGCAACATTTTCACTAAACACCTGACTCAGAAGGAGCATGAACAGGACAAATTTGTGTAAAAAACAATGAGCTTAAGATGCCAACTTGCCCTGTCTTTTTAAAAGCATGCATGAGAGCTGAGCCATGTGTCCCCAGGCCCTCCGTGGGCAGCTGCCTTGGGCAGAGATGTGAACAGCAGTCCAGGGTTGGGTGAGCCAGCACTCTCCGGTGTCTTGGTGGCTGTGTGCACTGGCCAAGCCCCACGGACAGCACTGTGGCGCTGATGACTGGCAGCTCATTCCCCAGCAAAGCCACTCTGGGGATGTCTCCAGCAGACACTCGCAGACCACAGCGGCAGTGAACAACGGGTTTAACCAAGTTCCCTCCACCCCTACCACAGAATACTAATGAACCAGAGCTCCCTACCACTAACAAGCTGAGGTCACCACAACACACGGTCCAGTGAAAAGAGCAAGGCAGAAAACAAGTTGTAGAGAAGGTTCCTGTTTGTGCAAAAAAGTCAAGGAAGAACTAGAAGAACACATGTGTATATTGACTTACATATGTATAAAGGAACTCTGGGAAGATCCCTCAGAAACAGGTAACAGCAGTTACTTGTAGGGGGAGGGTGGAGCGAAATCTGGGCAAATGAGGGGTGGAACTTCCCTTGGCATCTTTAAACTATAGGACTACGTCAGCTACTCAGTAATTAATAGGTTAAATGAAAAGGAACACGGCACTGTAAGGACGACGAGGCTATGTCCTTCTTTGCAGCTGGTATCAGGTAAACCTACACCCAGACCTTCTCTCCCTAAATAGAGCATTGCTCTTTTATTTCAAGAGCCAATCACTGGACGCCCACTAAGAGCCAGGCCAAGAAATACTTGCAATCTCTACTACTCTGGGGAATGATGAGGGAGGAGAGTGTGTTGGGGGGGAGGACAAATGGTCTTAGGAAGTTCATGTGGACTGGCCGTGGTGAGGAGAGGGTCAGAGATCTACTTTGAAGCACGCTGACTTTGACACAACCCCCTTTTCAAAGTTCATCTCAGAAAGGATGTTAGATGTTCCCCTAGGAAACACATAAAACCAATGCCTGTGCAAGATTTGTTTCAAACATCAGATCACAAACTGTCCAAAAATAGCTATCGGTGTGGAACTGTGAGGTCAAACTAAACCTGAATTGAGTGTTTAAACATGTTGGGAGAACCAGGGGATTTTCCTGAGTCAGCTGGAAGCTCTTGTATACTGCAGTAGTCAGCCATGCACCCTAAATCAACAGAGAAAAATGTGTCCAGTGCTCTGACAGACTGTTGCAACAATGATGATCAAAAAATATACGGAGTGCAAAGGCATTTGTGAGTTCATACTGGCTGGATCAAAAATCACGTTTAAGTGACTTAATAGCTGTGAAAACTTGCCTGTTGTGTGGGTATGAACAAGGACAGGCACGTTACTAGTGATTTATCTGAATCGTGCGTCTCAGCTCTAGAGTTAATTGTTCCGGAACATCCCAACTAAGTCGCTATTGATCAATTGCAGGAACTTTAAACACTCAGTAATCTTACGATGCATCAAGGTTTTACTTAATAATGGTAACACACAGAGATGTTCAAAATCCCCCAAGCCAAAATCTTCCCCCACTCTGCAAAAATAAACCTCCCAACGTTTTTCTGCAGAGTGTCTGCAGCACTGTCAGTTGCCGGGGGGCTAATTCTGGCAGGGCAGGGTGATGGTCAACTGACTGCTTGTGGAGAAAGCAGCCACAGGGGGGCTATTTCCCATTTTTCACTCTCAGGTCTTCATGCAACAGTTAAGCCATCAGGTGTACCAAATTCGAGATAAAGGAAGTTCCTCTTTCAGCTCAGTGGAAATGAGAAGTAACTCCATTTCACCGTGAGCTTCTTTACTTTTCAATCTAGACCCCACTGGCCGGGAGAGGTGCTCCAAATCCTTACTCTTATCACATTTCTTGCTCCTGCTGGGAAGGGAGGTCCATCCTGACTTTTTAGGATGCACATTAGAACTCTGTACTTGTTTATTTGTGTGTGGGTGAATCTATCCGTGAGCAGCGCTATGCGCAAGCCAGGGGAGGACAGCGATGGGGTCAGGACGTGATCCCCCAAAAAGTGGCACCTGGCATTTGAGGAAGCCACAGAAACAGGAAGGTCTCTCTCAACTTCTCCCACCCTTCTCCTCCCAGACAGGCCGTAAAACCCTCATTCCAGAGGTGCCCTCCCTCTGCCAGGAGGAAGGGAAGCTCCTTATCTCTGAAGATATAGGGACAAAGAAAAGAATCTGAACAAACAAGCCGGCAAACAAGCCCCCGCCCCGGTCTATGGCCATTGGTCACATCCCTTTGTCCAATCACACTTCTGCGTGCCTGTCCACTCCACCAAACTTGGTATGGAAATACCCAGGCTTCCCTGCTTCTTTGGGTCACTTGAGGCTTTTCTCTTATTAAGCTGTCTTTTGTTATAGGGGCCTCAGCCATGAGCCTTGCAGTGGGTAAGAAAAAGATGTTACCACGGGTGCGGTGGCTCATGCCTGTAATCCCAGCACTTTGGGAGGCCAAGGCGGGTGGATCACGAGGTCAAGAGATCGAGACCATCCTGGCCAATGTGGTGAAACCCGTCTCTACTAAAAATACAAAAATTAGCCGGGCATGGTGGCGCATGCCTGTAGTCCCAGCTACTTGGGAGGCTGAGGCAAGAGAATCGCTTGAACCTGGGAGGTGGAGGTTACAGTGAGCTAAGATCGTGCCACTGCACTCCAGCCTGGCAACACAGCGAGACTCTGTCTAAAAAAAAAAAAAAAAGAAAAGAGAAAGATTTCTCCCCTATGACAAGATTTCAGGTCGACATGGTCAGTTTGATGACCTACTATGTGGGATCTACTCCAAGTGAGGGGACTTGTTACACCCGAGTCTTTGCGTCCTCTCTCCACACCAGTTATACTGGAAGCTCTGAAGCCACTTCTCCCCAGGTGACCCTGTAACAGCTGTGCTCTGACCCAGGTGTACCTTGGACCAGCCAACTGCACTGGAGATGGAGCAGGGGATGCAGGCAGCCTGTGAAGGAGTCCCGTTCTCTTTCACCCCCTCCCTTGAACTCAGCCCTGCTCCAGGGCCCCCAGAAGTGCCAGGCTCCAGGTTTAAAACTCTCAGGGGCTCTGGGACCTCAGGAGGGGACAAGTTTAAAACCAAAGACCATCTTCACACCATCTGCAATTAACTAATCCACATTCGAGACCTTAACAGAGAGAAGCCACGGACTAGTTCCATCATTTATCTGCCAAGGGATACCCCCATTAGCTTGGGGCTCCTGGCTCGGGGCAAACCTCCCAAACCCACAGAAAGGGCTCAGCCCGAATCATCACCATTCAGCATCTCCATCGTCCAGCACTGCCTCCCGCTGCCTCGCGTCCTGACAGCCTGCAAGAGAGTCAACCAAATGCTTTGTTTCACTTTATTGGATACACCAGGTGTGGGATTTACAAATGGGACCAACGATGTGTGCGGGGCACAGACGGCTGCCTGTGGGTCTGTGTGTAACAGGGGCTGTAAAATGAATGGACCTCCTGTGCACGTGGTACAAAGACAAGCAAACCAAGACCAGCTGGATCCCAACACGGGTAACGTAAACAGTTAAATTACTAAAATCATTATCTTAGGATCAAAATACTTCAATGAAAATGGCATATTAAAAACATATAAATTACATTTAAGGTCTGTACATGATTCTTAAAAAAAAATAACAATACTGTGTTCTGTACAATATTGCTTCTTCTGAACATTCCAAACCCAAGAAACACTTTCCCTTGAATTCCCCAAAAGTGGGCAAAATACACATGCAGTATAATTAAAACCATTTCACCAAATACAAAGCTGTCCATTTCTTCGAAGGCACACGTTTTGTTGTATCTCAGGAACTCCCATTTCAGGAGCCCCTTGTCTTCCGACCCCAACAGGCAGCAGAGGGCAGCCTCGGTTCCAACAAATCTTTGGCTGCTAAAGGGAGAATATTCTCGGCAGGGAGGCAGCAGAAATGGAGCCCCTTCATCCTCAAAGCAACAGACCAGATGGCTTGTCGGGAACCTCAAGATCGAGGTGCCTCCTCGCTGCCCTTATTCCCAACGTTCCGAAATACTCGCTCCATATACGACACGGAGTGAAGTTGCCACCTATTTTCTTGAAAGGCATTTGCTGCTCACTACCAGTCTACCACCAGAATCAATGTAGGCAGCCCTGGGGATGACCATGTGTCCTGCTCCTCAGGATGCCGTGCTACCAGGCCCCCTGCCTGGCTTGGGTGCTCCTAGGCAGGACAGCTGTCTGTGTCAGAGGACAGAGAGGAGCAGGGCTCCACCTCACCCTGTCTGTAAACAAGCCCGCTGGCCGGCGGGCTCTCGTGATTGCTGGGTATGGTGTCTTCTCAAAGGCGACTGAGGTCCCCGTGGGGTCTCAGCGGGGTTTCTGTCCCCGAACCCTGGGCCCTGGTGCCACTCAAGCTTCCAGCTGGACTTGGGCTTCGTCCACCTGCAGAGTGTCACTGTCCCCCAGCAGCTCAGTCTCTGGGACAGAGCCTTCCTCCTCCTCTGCTTCCTGCACGGGGCTCTGTGCCCCGTCTTCTGGGGCGTTCTGTGCGTCCTCGGTGCCCTCTGAGAGCAGGGCTGCCCTGTCCGCCACGGACGTGTTGGAGGGGGCCGTGGTGACATAGCCTGTGCTGGTGGAGCCGCTGCCGCTGTGGTGTGAGCTGGGCTTGGGGACCATCTGAGGAGGTACCTGCTGCGGGGCCATCTGCATTGGGATCTGCACTGGGTAGAAATTGGGCAGGTAGGCCCCGTAGGCCGGCACCGGCTGGTAGCCATTGACAGGGATGTAGAGCTGCGGCGGGGGCACCATGGGTCTGATCTGACCCTTCATGGGGATGAACTGGGGCTGTGGGAAGGGCGGGGCCTTCTGCTTGGGCCCCACGTAGCGGGCATTGCTCACATTGCTCACTGGGCTGGTGCTCAGGGAGCTGGTCTGCGTGGTGTTGCTGGCCCCCGAGGTCTGCGCCGAGCTGTTGTAGTTGGAAAGGTTGCCCCAGGCTCGGAGCCGGCTGTGGATGTCCTTGAAGCGGGGCCGTCGGCTGGGGAACTCGTTCCAGCACTCGATCATGAGGGCGTACACCCAGGCGGGACAGTCGTCCGGGCAGGGCAGCACCTGCCGGTTCCGGATCATCTCCACCACGTCCTGGTTGGAGTACCCGCAGTAAGGCTGCAGGCCGTAGCTGAAGACCTCCCACAGGACCACGCCATAGGACCAGATGTCCGAGTCGATGGAGAACTTGCCGTACATGATGGCCTCCGGGGCCATCCAGCGGATGGGCAGCAGCGAGTTCCCCAGCAGCTTATAGTAATCAGCGGCATACACCTCTCGGAAGAGGCCCAAGTCTGAGATCTTCACGTTCAGCTTGTCGTACACCAGCACGTTGCGGGTGGCCAGGTCCTTGTGAACCACATGGTGGCTGGAGAGGTACTCCATCCCTGCCGCGATCTGTGCCACCAGGTGCACGAAGTCGGGGGGCTCCAGGGCGGACTTCACCGTGCGGTCGTCGTCCGTGCTGCCCACGTCCGAGTGTGGCGAGCGCATGACCAGGAATTCGTGGAGGTCGCCGTGCGAACAGTAGCTGAAGATCATGCTCAGGGGCTGGTCCTTGGTCACCACGCCCAGCAGGCAGACGATGTTGGGGTGTTGCAGCCGTGCTCGCAGCATGGCCTCGTGCCGGAACTCCTCCCGCAGGGGCCCCTCTGCTTTGTCCTTCAGTGTTTTGATGGCCACGGCCTGGGTCTGCTCCCCCGGGGCGGGGCCAAACAGGTGGCCCTTGTAGACTTTCCCGAACCGGTCCTCTCCCAGCTCCTCCATGAACCTCACTGCAGACAGGCTGATCTCTTTGAGTTTGGCCTGTCAAGAAGAAAAGCCCCACGTGAAACATCACTGTCACCGCAGCCCTGAAGGGAGGTGCAGAGCAGCCGGAAGGAGTGGAGTCTCCGTGCGGCCACGACTGGGGGGCCTTGCAGGAGACCCTCTGGTTTCACCCACCCAGCCTTGGCCTGCCCACCCACAGCTCTCTGCTTCACCTTAAATACGGCTCTGATGCCAAGGTTGCTTCCTGTCTGCAATGTTCAACAGATCCCAACCAGGCTACACATAAGGTCCCTCCAAAATCCAGCTGGGACACACTGCACACTTCCTTCCCACTTGTGCATGTGTGGACACACCCACACACCCCCGCTACAGCCAGGCCCAGGCACCAGCTGTCCTGGGGCAGCCCCGGACATACCCCACCAGGTCCCCTCCAATGCCGAGTTGTTCTACAGAGGTCTGAGTTAAACATGTTCTTGGAAGGAGTACCCCACAAGTGATAGGAGCCCTGAGAACCCTCATCTCTCTCAGTCTCTGTGACGCCAGCTCCTCCTGTGTGGCCAGCCCTCATCCTCCCCAGAGGTTCCTGGGCCACCATGCAAGCCCCAGGGCTCTGTGCTCGCCTCGCTGGCCAGCCCCTGCCCACAGCAAACCCTCACTGACTCTGGGGCTGAAGAGCCAAGTGCATCAGCTCCCTCCTGGCCACCTTGAAGGGCCGCTGCAAAGCTGGCTGAGAATGATGTTCCCTGCGGCTTTGCAATGAGTGTAAACACCCTGGTACAACACAAGCTGGAGAGGCTGCAGCACACGTTCTCTTCTGTTGTGTTTCAGTGCCGCACTCCCATCTAAGGCTGCTCTGGGATGAGGGGTGGCCTTTTAGTGGTAACCTGTCTGCCTACTCCCATTTAAGAGCTCTTCTTCTATCCTTCCCTCTAACAAAACAAAGCAAAGCCAACCCAACCCAAAAGTGACAAGAGAAATTATGGGGGGGCACTGGAGCCCTCTTTTTCTTGTGTGTCTTCTGGGCAGAGCTGAGGCACCCGGACAGTGAGGATGCTCGTTGGGGCCCACAGGGGCAGCATGGTCCAGGCAGAGGGAAGCCCATGAACTCTGGGGCAGTGAATTCCCAACACGCCTGCCATTTATTTTCTAAAACACACATGTCCTGATCTAGTTTACAGAAAAAAAATGGCAAAATGAAGCGGAGTTTAAAATAATTATGTGTTATGTATCAAGTAAATTAAGACAGTTAATGTCGGGGGAACAACCCCTGAGGATTAAGCCTGGCAGAGCCACCCAGGTAGAATACGTAAGCACGGAGACCTGTTTGTGCTGGTTAATGAGGGGCATTTCCATGTCTTGGCTGGGCGAGGCCATCAGCTGTCGCCGCTGCGGTGTGGACGCAGATGCCTTCTGCTTATTCCGGCACATGCAGACCAAGAAGAAAAGGCAAGCGATGACCAGTGGAATTGCGATGCTGGGGACCAAGATGTACAGAATCCCCATCTTGCTGCTGTCTCGAGGACCTGTGAATAATAAGGCTTTCGTGATTTTTCAGAAAACATCCCTTTTCAACTGTCAGTTCTCTACCAACCCACCCTCCACCTCCAGCCAAAACCTTCACACGCACGTGGGTCATCACCTAAGTTACACAACGGGGTGAAAGGGCACAGCACACCTTAAAAAACGTGATGCACCAAAAAACGCACACCCGGCTGCATCCTGGGGAAACAAAACCCAAAAGTGCCCAACCTGGAAACAAGCGGGAATACGCAGCGTAAGAAGTACACGAATTCTAATGATCTCAATATTAATAAGGACCACATCCGCTTTCTGTTCCTGAGGTTTGAAAACCATCGGAGATAGGTGCTCTGCCCAATTTCACTTTTATCAAGGCCTCCCCAGCTACTGACGAGTTGATGAAATTCACTGGAGATCCTTGTCCAAGGTGAGTGAAATTTGGTACTGGGAGTAGACACGTTCCTTTTCCTCATTCAACATTTTAATGTTTTCTTCACATTTTTAATCAATGATGACAGATTCTTTTGGGATAATAATTAAACATGCACTAGATTTAATAGAGCACCAGTAGTCCATGCACTTGACCCAGTACAATATCCAACAGGGACATAAGAATTCTTAGAAGGCACGGGGTACCAACAGTCAAGGCTACCAGCTACCGTCCCTGCATTTTTTTGTCACAGGGAAAAGTAACTCTTTGTCTCCCTCTACAGGATTTACAGAAAAGTACAGGGGGCACACCAGGCAGGCAGAGGTGACCTCAGGTTTTGAACAGGCCTCCCGGCAGGACTGGCTCCTCCCAGGCTGTGTGGCCCCCAAACACCCCGCACATCAAAGCAGTTGAATGTAAGGCAAAGTGGCGCCATTTCAGGAGGCTGACCCTAAGCCTGGTGGAAGGTGAGTTCTCTAGGGAGCCACTTTCCCACATTCCTGGAAAACCACGGTGTTCTGTTTTCTCCTTAACCCTGCCAGTAACTGTATCACTTAGAGGGCCCCATGGCCAGGGGGCAAAGTGCTCCTCATCTGGAAGCAAACAAGTGATTTCTGGTCAATGTGATGCCTAAAAGAGCTAACTCAATCCTAAAAGTGAACATGCTATTGCCACCTTAGGAAAAAAGCACCTTGTCCCAAACCCAGCCTTGCCCCACCCCTGCTCCCCAAAATAAGATGAAATCATGTAAAACCACAAACAAAACTTTCTTCTGGCCCCACCTAGCAGCTTCCCCTCTGAATGGGTTCCAAGGCAGGTGTCCCAGAAATCTTACGGGCACCGGGGATGCCGATTCTTTCTTTCTTACTAGGGTTTGGTTCATTTTTCATTATTAAGGTTGGCGGAGTCCAGGCCTCTCTCAGGCCAAGACCAGAGGTGTGAGCTCACACCAACACCATCACCTGCTTTTATTCTCTACTTAACGTTACCAACACAACTCATGCTTACTGGGAAAAATTGTGGTATTATAGAAATGTGGCCTTTCAAAAGATCGTATTTCTAACAGCCTTCTTTCGCGAAGACTATAAATGGTTAAGTTTCGTGTTCTCTGACTTTGCATATATTTTAGGTTGAAACACATGGAACAACCGATATTCAACTATTCTGACATATAGACACAGTAGTTTTATATGGTTTTCTTAATTCAAATGTTGAATGAACTTTATTATTTATTTTTGAGACAGAGTGTTTGTTTATTTTTGAGACGGAGTCTCGCTCTGTTTCCAGGCTGGAGTGCAGTTGTGGGATCTCAGCTCACTGCAACCTCTGCCCCCGCAGGTTCAGGTGATTCTCCTGCCTCAGCCACCCGAGTAGCTGAGATTACAGGCGCCCGCCACCATGCCTGGCTAATTTTTGTATGTTTAGTAGAGACCAGGTTTCGCCCCATTGGCCAGGCTGATCTTGAACTCCTGACCTCAGGTGATCTGCCTGCCTTGGCCTCCCGAAGTGCTGGGATTACAGGCGTGAGCTACCACACCTGGCCTACATGAACTTCATTTTAAGTAGAGTCATATCATCCGTATTTTCCTGCTCCTGGTTTTTCGGCAGAATAAAATCTCTTGGACAGCAGCTCATGTTGCAGCAGATAGACGTGCGTGTTCTCCACAGCTGCATGCCACTCCACGGAACGGGCGTCTCCAACTGCCCCATCCAGCCCTACTGATAAACAGTCTGTTTTGTGTTTAGCTCTCACAAGTGATTCTGCAATAAATATCCTTCCATTTATGCCCTGTAAGTACAAACCTGCAATACAAGATTCTAATAACTGACTGGTCCAAAATCATACATTTTTTTCATGTTTTGATTTATTTTTAATTACAAAAGTAATTCCTACTCACTGTAAAAAAAAAAAAAAAAGTCTTATATTTGAACACTTTTGTAGGTCTGGGGAAATCACTGCTAAAAGTTTGATATCCATCTTTCCAAAACCTCATAAAAGTCAGGAGCCTGTGTGTGCTCATACACACACTCCCACTCATTTTTTTTTTGCCAGAAACAAAATAATGAGCAAAAAAGCACCTCTACCACAGCTCTGTCCTACAACCTGCTTTTGTTCCTTACAGGGCACAGGGCCATCCTTCATTGCAGGAAACCTTTAAGGTCTAGCGTGCTCCAGAGTGCCTAGACCGCAGTTTGAATGACTGATAATTTCATTCTTAAAATTTGTTCTCCCATAATGAACACATTCTTGAAGATTTGTGTCTGATCTGCTGAGCCAGAGGCAATGCCAAATCTGGAGCTGCTGAATCACACATCAGGAAGGTCATCAGTGCCAGTGTTTACTTCCTGCACTTTGGAGTACAGACATGCGGGCCTGCACCCCCGGAGGTCTCCAGGTGCACGGTGAGCCCAGCCTTGCTTCACCCGCTGCTCTCTATAGCGGGTGCCCACTCATTCACCAATTGCTGCTTCCAGCTCCCAGCCCGGCCTTGGTTACCCTGCTGCCTGGAACTGGCGAACCGGCCATGACTAAGACAGAGGTGAGAACTGTTAAAGCTGTCAACCGTTAACTACACGCGCTTCCGTATTCATGACGTCACAGACACGCTCGCAAGCAATGGGGACAAGCAATGCATTCTATTTTCGCCTCACTCCACCAAACGTGAGAAGCAGTGAAAAGCTCAAAAGCTGGTGGGTGGAAGGGAAATATTTTTACTACTATTAGGAAATACTGAGCAATAATGGCGTTTTTTTGTTATTTTTTGGTTTTGAGAAAAGGTCTTGTTTCGTTGCCCAGGCTGGAGTGTAGCGCCACCATCATGGCTCACTACTGGCTCAAGCAGTCCTCCCACCTCCACCACCCAAGCAGGCGTGCCACCACGCCTGGGCAATTTCTGTATTTTTTGTAGAGACAGGTCTTTGCCATGTTGCTCACGCTGGTTTCAAACTCCTGGGCTCAAGAGATCCACTCGTCTTGGCCTCCCAAAGTACTGGGATTACAGGTTGTGAGCCACCGCACTGGGCGATAATGTTAATGGAGAAACAAAACGTCAAAGTGAATATCCCAGGACCATCCATACGCAGGAAAAGGGCTGGTGGAAGGGGGTGGGCCAAAATGCAAAGAAGTCACTGCTGGGTGGTAACATTAGGGGTGATCTGCACATGACTCTTCAGACTTCTCTATATTTTAAAATGTCTCACAATGGTCAGATGTTACTTTCATAACCAATAACAACTTGTGTTATTTATTTATTTATTTATTTATTTATTTATTTATTTTCAGGACAGGGTCTCACTCTGTTGCCCAGGCTGGAGTGCAGTGCGGTCATCTTTGCTCACTGCAACCTCTGCTTCCCAGGCTCAAGTCATTCTCCTGCCTCAGCCTCTTGAGTAGCTGGGATTACCGGTGTGTGCCACCACACCCAGCTAATTTTTTATTTTTAGTAGAGATGAGGTTTCATCATGTTGACCAGGCTGGTCTTGAACTCCTGACCTCAAGCGATCTGCCCGCCTCGGCCTCCCGAAGTGCTGGGATTACAGGCATTGGCCACTGTGCTTGGCCCAAAAGCTTTATTTAAAATGGTCACCGTGGTAAGATCAGAGGTCTCTGGTCGCCACTGTACAGAGGCACACCCCAACTCAGGTCAGGACAGAATGCCCTCATCACAAGGTTCACTCAACAATCAACACAGTAAAAAAAGAGAGAGAATACATACTACACGAGGGTACGTCACACAGTTCCATGCGTACGTTTTTATTCTGCGTAAAGCACCAGGGGCCCTCCATCTGGCCTCCGGGGTTCCGGCAGTAGGCGTGCCCCCCTCCAAGCTCAGGGAAGTCTGCGCTGGACAGGTGGTGGCTGTGGGGGTGCTGCAGGGCCCACGGCTGGCACTGGTGACCTGACTTGGTGGTGCTTGCCGTTCCTCTGTAATCCGTGCCTGAGCCGTTATAGCACTGATGGTCTGAACAAGGAAAACACGTTAGGAAAACCTCCGGGGTACAAAAAAACCATTCTGCCTACACATGCCCAAACTAGAATTTCCAAAAGATCCAAAGATTTCACATAACTTACCAGAAAAGAGGCATTACAAGTAATGGCTTCATGAAGTCCCAAGCCCACAAATTAAATGCAGGGCACATCAGGGATATATATGGGGAAGGAAACTGTCGGAAGTTATTCCACAGCCCCCAGACCATCTCTAGGACCCATGAGGCACTTGCACACCACCCCCCCACCAGAATGACGGTGTTACCCCCAGCCTCAGGATCACTTGCTCTAGGAAGAAAGCCAACTGTGCGGGCAAGAAGGGCGAACTCCCAGGCCCGGCCCCTCCACCTCAGGGTACCCTGCTCAGCCATGGGTGAGAACAGTGCAGGCCATGACACCTCCATGGAGGAACTCTGGGGTTGGGGTGTGCATTTGGTGAACATTTCTGTAGTGTTTACCATGTGTGAGGCGCTGCTCTAAACCCTTCTGGCTGGACACCATGGCTCACAAGGCGGGTGGATCACTTGAGGTCAGGAGTTCGAGACCAGCCTGGCCAACATGGTGAAACCCCATCTCTACTAAAAATACAAAAATTAGCTAGGTGCGGTAGTGCACGTCTGTAGTCCCAGCTACTCAGGAGGCTGAGGCAGGGGAATCGCTTGAACTTGAGAAGTGGAGGTTGCAGTGAGTCGAGACTGTGCTACTGCACTAAAGCCTAGGTGACAGAGTGAGAATCTGTCTCAAAAAAACCAAACAAAACAACCCCTTCCTAAATATTGCCTCATTTGACCTTCATTCCAGCCCCACGGGTTAGTATTGGTGTCATCCCCACGGAATATAAGGATATGAGAGCTTAGCAACTTGCCCAGAGTCACAGTGAGGGTTGAAATGCAGGCAATGGGCCCGGGCACCAGGCCCTCGCTGTCCTGGTAAGAAGTCCTCCCCATTCCTGGACCCCCAGATTAGCCAACCATGCTAAATACAGTCCTGGAGCGGTGGTGGAGGTGGCCCGTTCCCTGGGTCTCACTCCTCAGGAAAGCAACAACCCTGATGAATGCAGTGATGTGAGCCAATGGTTTTCCTCAGGGACATCAGCATGGCTCCCTGTCCTGTGTCTGTCTGGCCATGGTCACCCTTCTGGGGCTCAACAACTTGCGGTTTACCAAGCCTCCAGAGGGCAGGGGCTGCTCTGCTGCCAGCAGGAGGGGCACGAGGGAGCATGCTCCTCCGTCCTGTGCAGACCCCAAAAAGGCCACACCCAGGCCCCGGGCTCAGAACTGTCCCCATCCCCCACGCTTATCCCCTAGGCCAACGATGCAGGGAGCTGGAGAAAGGTGCAGGGTGCTTGCAGTATTTCCTTCCCTAGCCATGCCTGACCATCACAGAAGTTCTTCTCTGGTGCCCCCCAGGCCAGTCCTGCAGCATCTCCGCGGGCCTCACACTCGTCCAAAGCTAAGGATCCTACAGGTTTCTGGGGACCGGTCCTCCAGGTTTCAGGAGGCTGGGGCAGGAGTTGAGAGTCTGCATTTCCCCGGGCGCCCGAGTGCGTGCTGACCATCGGGAAAATCAGGAAGCTGGCCCTGTCTCCTCTCATGCCCCCAACAGCCATTTCCACAGGAAGTGAGATCACTCCCATTTCAGGGAAGGGAAATCCCAGGCTTAAGCAGGTGGAGGGACTTCTCCTGAGTCCCACAGCTGGACACAGTGGAAGCCCAGATGCGAGCCCTGGGCTGAATGGCTCCAAAGCCCCTGCTCCAAGGCCCCACCTGCTGCCCTGCTGGAATGGGGGTCTGGGCTGCGGGGCCCGGACAGATGGGGCTCCCTGGGCTTCACCCGCCGCCCTATACACATTTCAAGGGCCCTACAATCCCTGCGCCCGCCGGTCCCGCCCCGGGCCCTCGGGCACTCACAGCGGCCCAGCCTCTCGGCCGGGATGCCGATGCGCATGCAGTTGGCAGCGTCGGGGCTCTCGGGCATGGGCAGCGCCTCACACTTGGGCAGCTGCAGACGCATGAGGATGAGCGGGTTGGAGCGGGCGATGGTGTATTCCTGGCGGCACAGGTCGCTCTCCAGCACCTCGCACTCGTCGCGGCACAGCTCACGCGGCTTGGGTGCCCGGGAGCGCGCGTCGCACAGAGGGAAGACGAAGTGGCAGAAGGATGGGATGGCGAACTGCGAGCACTGGTCCGACAGGTGCGTAGAGGTGCCGATCATGGTGAAGGCCGCTGCAGAGCCCGCGAGACTCGCGTTAGCGGTAGACCCACCTCGCGCCCCTGACATAACCCCACCCCCAGCCCCGCATCCCAGATTGCCCACTCGGCCCCCTGATACCCCGCCCCGCCCCAGACTCCCCAACCCTGAGCCCCGCACACCACCCTGGAGAGGCTCCCTACCAGCAGGCCAGCCTGCCCATCACCTGCTCTGATTTGCAGCAGACACAGAAAAGCCCCTGGTCCCAGGCCTCACTTAGAAACATCAGAAGCAGAACGAGAAAGAAGGAAAACTCGGCCCTCTAGCTCACTCCGCTAGGTGCTTCTTCCAGGACAGGATGGTTCAGACTTCGGATGCAAAAGCAGATCCTAAGGATCTGCTATGTGTGGAGAGGCCAAAAGGTGCAGTACCCAGCCCCGGGCTTCCCAATGTCCCAGAAGAGGGAGTCAGCTCAGCACTGTGAACTGCAGCTGGAGGAGGCAGGCAGCTGGCAAAATGTGGAAAGTCAAGAGGGTGACAGCAGCAAAGTGGAAGGAGGGCCGCCTTAAAATTCTGGAAGGTTCTGTGATAAGGGGGAGCAGAGAAACCCCAAGATCCAGAGCCCCCTTTGGTAGGGCAGTTTATTTTTTAAGGGCAAGATGTCAGAGGATGCAGCGTGGCGCGAGACTATGGGGTGAGTTCGGGAACAAAGTGTGGGCATTGGGGGGAGATCTGCTGCACCTGGGGGCATGGCTGGACACTGGTAGGGGCGAAGAAGCTGGCCAAGGCAGGACTCTAAGGACTGCATCGGCCTGCCCTGGGCTCACTACCCCACTTTCACCTGTGAAAGGCTGGCTTACAACAATTGAGCTTGGGGACACTGGAGGCAGACAGGCCCCTTTGTCTGCACACCCAGCTGAGACTGTGTCCTCCAGCGTAGGAAAAAACCCAGAAGCTGGCATTTAGTCCCTGAGGAGCCATAGCTCCACCCATGAATGCAGTTCAATCCCATCATTATAGATTTGGCGATTATTTGGTGATTATACAGAGGGCTGTCCAGAATGCTGGCCTCAATTGACCTCCAGGCAAGGAAAGCGTGTTCATGCTGTGCCAGGTTTGGCCAGCAGGTGGCAGTGCCGCTGTCAGTCATTCCCTGGGAACCCAACCAGGAACAGGAGGGGCAGCTGTGTGGGAACAGCCTGGTGCGTGATCACTTTGTGGTATCGCTCACGCCTTTCCGGGCCTGTTTCTGTACCTGAAGGGTGATTTGAGACCCCACACTGGGACATGAGAGTGCACACAGAGCCTATAACGTGGCCCTCGGCGTGAACGGGCCCCGGGGTCGGGAGCAGCCGCACTGTCCTGACGGTGTGCGGGCACTGCTGTGCTCATCACATCACCTCCCCTCCTCCGGGTTCCTGTGGCCGATATTTAAATGGAGGAACAGAGAGGGTAAGCGGTTACAATACAGGATGTCTTGGATTTGGAGGAAGAACTGAGGCTTCAGTCCGGTTCACTCCCATCATTACGGATTTGGGATTATATGGAAGGCTGTCAAAAATACAGGTAGGCCTTGACCTCCGGACAGGGAAAGACTGCCTAAGAACGCCAAAGCTGTCACTTGTCTTGGGCTAATCCACTGATGCGATGTCTCCGCTCATCTTTATAGCGTTCCTCCTTTCTCCTTCTCCTCACCCTGAGAATGTACTGCTTCTTTCTGAAAGTGCAATTCCAGGCACCAAAGAGATCCAACAACTCACATCCTGTTATCTGTCCACACCCTGAATGCCACACAACGCTTTCCAACAGAACACTGCACACAACAGTCATTATTATGCTTATTTCAAAGCCACAAGTCTGTTGAGAGCAACTTCAAATTTATTGCTTTCGAAAAGCCACCGACCTAGAAAATCCTCATTCTACACTCTTCTCTAAAAGCTGCTATAAAACCAGGCTGCTTGGATGCAAGCTGGTTCCTTAAACAACTCCTGAAGAGATAACTGAGGGACAATCGTGTGCCCTGGATCAGTGCTTGCCAATTAGTGGGGTGTCTAATTAATTCTGGAGTGTGCAGCTAGCATTTTAAAAGACGATAAGAACAGACTAGAGGATGTCAGAGTGCACATGGTTCCTACTAAGGGCTTTTTTTTTTTTTTTGAGATAGTCTCGCTCTGTTGCTGGGGCTGGAGTGCAGTGGTGCGATCTGGGCTCACTGCAACTTCCACCTCCTGGGTTCAAGTGATTTTTCTGCCTCAGCCTCGCGAGTAGCTGGGATTACAGGCACCCGCCACCATGCCGAGCTAATTTTTTGTACTTTTAGTGGAGACGGGGGTTGCACCATGTTGGTCAGGCTGGTCTTGAACTCTTGACCTCGTGATTTGCCTGCCTCAGCCTCCCTAGCACTCAGTCCTCCCAAAGTGCTAGGATTACAGGCATGAGCCACCACGCCCACTTTTTTCTTTAATGAAATAAACCCGAAGAGAAAAATCCAAGTGCACCGCTTTTAGGAAGGGTGAAAGTTATTCCCTATAACCTATGGCAGTTGTGTGAAATACACGTATGTGTATACTAAGTCATGGTATAAAGTACACTCTCTATTTCCCACTGTGTATTTCGGTAAAATCCTTTGAGAAGTCCTACTTTAATGGCAAAGAAAGCTTTTGCAGTGAGAGGTAGCTGTATTTTCAAAACCACCTCCCGCTGGAACAGGATGGCACCTCCAGGTTCCTCTCTGTCTCATGATGGCTCTTTCACTTTGCACAGGACCCCCTGGCCCCATCCTCAGAGGTCTCTGTACCAGCATGGACCAGACAGTCTCTTCTGTGACCGTGAATGTGACCTTCGGCTCTCTAGTCTGAGGGTGACCTGAACTTAGAAGGGCTTGTCAGTGACATGAGGTGACTTTTTGCCTTGCATCCTCATTGTCACCCCTTACCAGGTCAGTGCCCTGTATCCCCTTTGCCCCATCCCCCTCTCCTGGGAGCACAGGCATCAGAGATCGCCCACTGATTGTAACCTGCAGCAGAGCCTCCCGCTCCCATGGGGAGGATCCAACTAAACTGAGGTGCTGGGGCACCTGCCGTCTGCACAGGATGTTTCTTGCTCCTTATGGGGTCTGGAGAGAAAACGTGTATGTGTTTGTGGGGAGAGCAGGGACAGCAGGAGGAGGGCTCTGTAGGACTTCTGTCTAATTCATTTTCTTGCTTTCCAAGGCCTTTCCCCTAAGAAGGACCCCGGACCCCACCAATGAGTTGTATGCTTCGAACTGGGACAGCCTATCAGAGAAGTTAAGTCTTAAAGAGACCAAGGATGAGCTCTTCCAAAGTCTCTTAAAGAGACCAAGGAAGAGACCTAAATGACCTGCCACTTTCTCAGACCCTGAACCAGGTACTCAAAGACTTGGCTTTGTTCTCTGGAAACCCAGGACTGACAAAATATGTGTTCTCTGCAGTATCCCTACCACTGATGACCCGCGACTCTCTCCCCCAGACCACTGCAATCAGGCCTGGGTGCCTTTGGACCAAATGTGGCTCAGAGAGGATAGAAGAGTCAGGAAGTGCAGAATGAGAAGTCAAGCAGAGTTAGTGTGGGGGCGCTGAGGCTGCCTGCGCCAGTGTGACGGGCCCAGGACGGAAGGCCCTGGCGATGCAGTAAGGACAGTGCTTCGGACCCACACAGTCTGGCTGAGTTAAAAGTGCAGAAGTATATTCCAAGCAACCCACACTTGCTAATTTAAACATACAGGCCAGGAACATTTTTAGGGCAAATCATGTTAGCAATTGCAACTACGTCTAAAAAAGATCTCTGGTTTTCTACTACAGATGAGATGGAAGAGGGACCCAATGTCCATGCCATTAACTGATGAAACACAGTGGCCACCGTTTGTGCGACAGGTGGCTGTGCGTGTGCTTATCATCCTGTGAGAAAGGTCTGCAGCTCCCACCTGTGATTCGGTTTTCAATTTCCCCCTGCATCTGCAGCGAGTCCACATAAATGGTCCGGTTGCCAATGAAGCGCGCACAGGCAATTCCCCGGTAAGGCTGGCAGAACCCATCCTCGTGGTAATCGTCCCTGGTAAAAACACACAAAGTCTGTTAGAGCTCTGGGAGGTGCCAGCTCTTGCCAATGACTTCTTTTATGATCCAGCATCTTGTAATCCAGCAATTTTGTTACTTGGTATTGGTATTTATCCAAAGAAGTAAAAAGATCCAGCAATTTGGTTACTTGGTATTTATCCAAATAAGTAAAAAACGTTAAGTCCACACAAAAACCTGTACATAGATGTTTACGGCAGCTTTATTCATAATTGTCAAAACTTGGAAGCAACAAGATGTCCTTCCGTAGGTGAATGGATAAACAAACTGTGGTACATCCAGACACTGGAGTATTATTTAGTGCTAAAAAAACCCGAGTTATCAAGCCACAAAAAGACAGAGAGGAAACTTAAATGCGTATTACTGGGTGAAATGAGCCAATCTGAAGGCTACATACTGTATGATTCCAACCATATGACATTCTAGAAAATGTAAAACCATGGACAGCAAAACTACAGAGACTGATTATGGAGAAAGGCCAGTGGATGCCCCGGGTTATGAGGGAGGGAGGGATTCCAGGAGGCACACTGGGGTTTTAGGGCAGTGAAACTATTCTGTATGATACTGTAATGGTGAGCGCACGTCACTATACACTGGGCAAAACCCATAGAAGGTAAAACACAAAGAACAAGCCCTAATGTAAATAAACTACTGAGTTTAGTTAATAATAATGTATCAATATCGGCTCAGCGGCAATAAACGTATCACATGAATGCAAGACATTAAAATAAGGGAAACTATGAGAAGGAGGATGGGAAGACTGGATTTTCTGTTCAATTTTTCTGTAAACCTAAAACTGTTCTAAAAAATGACTATTAATTTCAAAAAATTCCACATCTTTAAGGGAGTATGGAACAAGAAGGGGAGGACTGATTAAGCGAGAGGATGGTTCTTGAGGTGAAGAGTACACAGGGATGGGTACGTGTTTGTGTATACGTGCACACACCCAGAACATCAGGCACATGTTTCACCTTACCCTTGAACTATTTAATACATCAGAGACATTATGGCAATGCCCCTGCAAACTTCCCTTGTTTGCAAGTAAGGCTTTTATGATAACAATGACAATCCAGAGGGTGAACAGCAGAAATATTTGAAAAGGAGAAAAGCAATACACAAATGTTCTACTATGTTCCAAGGTGATGGGAGGGACTCCAAGAAGTCCAAGCCTCAAAGAACTCACAGAATGACATACATGCATGCCCACTATACACAGAAGTGTGACCTGGCCCTGCTGCATGGACAGCACAGACCACGTGTCACAGGCGCAGGAGGTCAGAAGAGGGAAAGACACGGGCAGGCTATTCTCCCTCCTGCTCCTCCTGGTCCCCATGGGGACAGCCTGCATGGATGGGAGGAGGGCGTAATCCTTTTCCAGGTCCCCAGGTTGGAGTTTGTGGTAAATTATTTTCTGCAGAAACTGTTGGTCTGGCTTCAGCCAATGAAAGCCATCACGATAAGTATCCTGGAGGATTTTAAAGTGGTGCTCAGGACCCTCCAGAGGTCCAGTGATGCCAGTGAGCCACAGCAGACACATCAGGGGGCTGCGACTGCTGGCGGAAGAGGGGACTGAAGATGCTAGGACAAGCCTTGCATGAGCACGTCAGGCCTGTAGTTCAGTAGCTTCTTTTCCAGCAAATCTGGAACCTACCCCACAAGCCTGAGAGCACTCAGCTTTCCACCCTACATCCATTTAGAGTAGACCATCCCCAAATGAAATCTGAATTCTGTTCCATTTAAGGCCAGGCACAGTGGTTCATGTCTGTAATCCCAGCAATTTTGGAGGCCAAGGCTGGTGAATCACTTGAGCCCAGGAGATCGAGACCAGCCTGGGCAACATGGTGAAACCCCGTTTCTACAAAATATACTAAAATTAGCTGGGCATGGTGGCACGTGCCTATAGTCTCAGCTACTCAGGAGGCTGAAGTGGGAGGATCACTTGAGTTGGGAGACAGAGGCAGCAGTGAGCTGAGATCGAACTACTGGACTCCAGCCTGGGTGACAGAGCAAGACCCTGTCTTTAAATTTAAAAAAAAAAAAAAAAAAAAAAAAAGACTGTGTTCAATTTAACCAAATGGACTTAAAATTCCTATCTGAACTCTCTTGCTAAGGCAGAGGCTGAACACCTGCAATAGCAGAGACCTTCTCAAGCTTCTGCAGAAAACCCTTTTCTCAAAGAACAGAACCTGGAGCCATAAATAAATCAAAGAAGGGGCTGGACGCAGTGGCTCACACCTGTAATCCCAGCACTTCGGGAGGCCGAGGCGTGTGGATCACGAGGTCAGGAGATCAAGACCATCCTAGCTAACACGGTGAAACCCCATCTCTACTAAAAATACAAAAAATTAGCCAGGCATGGTGGTGGGTGCCTGTAGTCCCAGCCACTTGGGAGGCTGAGGCAGGATAATAGCGTGAACCCGGGAGGTAGAGCTTGCAGTGAGCCAAGATCGCGCCACTGTAGTCCAGCCTAGGTGACAGAGTGAGACTTTGTCTCAAAATAATAATAATAATTCAAAGAAGGAGATTTTGGTGTTAACTCCAGCTCACCAGCCATTGCTTCCTTGGGTTATGGGTTCCTTAAAGGTAGTTTAAATGGGCAGCACATATGTTAACAATGAGCGCCTGCCTGTCTCGCTTTCATTCATTTTGAGCTGACGTTAACTGCTGGTTAGACGCTGGCCACACTACCAACATAAATGGAAGTCCCCTCTGCCCGGGTATGTGCTGGACATGCCCCTGTCTGGAGGCGGGCTCCGGGTGCTTGTCCACTCTTGCTGGAAAAATCATTAAGACCTGCCTGATCGGATTAATGTCAGCTATGCCTAAGCTATGAGATTCAGCTCAGTCTCTCGGGATGACGCCACCAATGTGAGCAATTTCTTTCCTACCTTGCAAGAGTCAAGGAAGAGAAGGTTGTTCCCCCTGTTGCAGGCTTCTCCCTGGCCGCTGGTCAGGTGCCCACAGGACCGAGAGAGCAAGGGGGTGTAAGGAAGATGACAAGGGGGTGGGGAGTCTCCCGCCATCACACCCCGCTTACACATCTCTCACTGACGTGGGCTTTCAATCTGAATAGACAGTATCTAGGCTGGGTGTGGTGGCTCACGCCTATAATCCCAGCACTTTGGGAAGCTGAAGCGGGCGGATCGCGAGGCCAGGAGATGGATCATCCTGGCTAACATGGTGAAACCCCGTCTCTACTAAAAATACAAAACCAAAATTAGCCGGGCGTGGTGGCAGGTGCCTGTAGTCCCAACTACTGGGGAGGCTGAGGTAGGAGAATGGCGTGAACCTGGGAGGTGGAGCTTGCAGTGAGCTGAGAATATGCCACTGCACTCCAGCCTGGGTGGCAGAGCTAGACTCTGTCTCAAAAAAAAAAAAAAAAAGATATATATCTCTCTCTCCAAAAAGCCAGACAGAAGTGCTTGGAAAATGGCATCTTTGCTTTTGAATTGTCTGAGAAAACAAGTGGGAGTTGCTTTCTATTTTCAAACAATTATATTTTATCTTTATCTGGCACATTTGGAGCCTTGGACAAGGAACAGAGCTGGAGAGAGTCTGTTAAGTGAATCCCTGGGAAAGCAAGGAAAGGGCTGAGACGGAATTTGGCAGCTATAAAATTCCTTCAGCAACGTAAGTGCAGTAGACATGCTCCCCAGCTGGCGGAGCATCACGTTTCAGAAACGCAGTGTGGAAATCCCCTGCCCTCAGGCTGCCAGGCACTGATCCAAAGCCTGACAGGACATGGATGAAGAAGAAACTTCTACACCAAGAAGTGACTGTCAAGGAGGAGAGAGGGCGCTAAATAATGACAACCCGGCCGGAAGCGGTGGCTCACGCCTGTAATCCCAGCACTTTGGGAGGCCGAGGTGGGTGGATAACGAGATCAGGCGATCGAGACCATCCTGGTCAACATGATGAAACCCCATCTCTACTGAAATACAAACAATTAGCTGGGTGTGGTGGTGCACGCCTGTAGTCCCAGCTACTCGGGAGACTGAGGCAGGGGAATCGCTCAACCCAGGCAGAGGCTGCAGTGAGCAGAGATTGTGCCATTGCACTCCAGCCTGGTGACAGAGCAAGACTCTGACTCAAATAATAATAACAACAACAACAACAACAACAATAATAATAATAATAATAATGTAAAATAATGACAACCCTGGGTAAGATAAGCAACAGGAGAGGGGTAGGAGATCGGGGAGAAACAGAAGCAGGGGCCAGCAGACTGTGATGGAAGGTGCTCCTCCACCGAGACTGGCAAGATGGTGGGGTGGATCCACAGCCTTCCCCTAGATGACACATGCTGAGAATAAACCTTCATAGGTATTAATAATGACGGAGCTTTAAAGGAAACTAAGGCTTTTTTAAGGTTGAAAAGGAATCCATGTCAAAATTCAAATGTAGCTACACATTGTGTAGGAAGTTAACATTTTTCCCCTATTGTTTTGTTACAAAGTAGTAACCCTATTGTTTTGTTACAAAGTAGTAACCCACCACACCCGGCCTATAGTCTGCATTTAGATGTGTGTATCTATCCTCAAATTACCTTATTGATGATTGCCTACTTAGTCACCTACTGCTCGTATCACATAACCTTAAAGCAAATTCAGTTTCTCGCTTTTATTCTGTTTCCGTACTATGGGACTTAAGGAAAGTTGTATTTTCTAGAAAATAGAACTTATCATAAAAAGATGTTACTGAGAAAAAAATTAGACTGGCTTCCCTCCTTCAAGCTCTGTCTGAATTAAGTTGAACTTGATTAGGTTGGTGGTCTGAGGGCTTTATTATCAAATGCCAAATGTCAGCCTTTTGCCCAAGTTTGTCAGCAATAAGGCGGCTTGGGTTTTTTTTATTTTTGTTATTTTTTTAAAACATGGAGTCTCACTCTGTTGCCCAGGCTGGAGTGCAGTGGTGTGATCTCGGCTCACTGCAACTTCTACCTCCCAGGTTCAAGCAATGCTCGGGCATCAGCCTCCC